AATTATATCATCGACATAGTTCCTGTACCAAATTTGAACTGACTAGGTCAACCGATTTGGAGGATGTAAACAAAAACAGATCTTTTACGGAAACTAATATTCTCTATGTCGGAAAGAAATGTTTACGGAGATATGGCCTATATTTTAAAGAACTTTGTTTAAGGCTTTTTAAGTGCATTTTTGAAAGACCTCATATAAAACTTTGCTAACTGTAGAATACAGCATTTACATTGTAAATATCTCAATACTAGATTTAATTCTTTATCGGAGAAAAATAATTTCATTTGAAAAATTAATGTATTCCTTATTTTTTAGTTTCCATGAAATTGGAGTATACGATATTCCAGCCAATATAGACTACATAGTAAATAAAACGAACCAGAAAGTTTTCGTTATTGGACACTCGCAAGGTAACACGTGTTACTTTGTTATGGCAACTGAAAGGCCTGAATATAACGATAAAGTAAAAATTTCCAGTGTTTATGCACCTTCAGTTCTTCTGAAATATATGGACTATCCTTTCGCTGTTACATTTTCGTATGTAGTTGAACTGTTCCAGGTATGTTTAAAATTTTATTTGGCATTTAAGCTGACCTTATATGTTAGATGTGTAGATACATATTTGATAAAGAAAAAGTCCTCAGTTTTACTAATCTTACATAACGTCATCGTACTTATGTAAATAAAATTAGGTGCAAAATACATACATTATACATGTTTACTTCCAACTTTTTGATAATTCTAAAAATTTTGTATTAATTTCACATTCCACCAAGTTTATATTCTTCCATTCTACTTGGTGCTCATTTAACGTCTAGTCTTATTAACAACAATTCAAAGACTGACGCTTTAAACTGCTAGGCTAAATTCAGAAAATTAATATGGCAATATTATATTTTAATGCAGTTTTTGTTAATCATATTTCAACTCAATGAATGAAAGTCAATATAGGAATTTAGTCTTTTCAAAATCAGTGACAAATTTCCAATTTTTTTTATCTTATATAGTTTATAGCTTTTCTCATGAGGTCTATATATTAAATTGAAAATACAATGTAGACTTTTTTTCAGCTGATTTATGATATTTTGGGAATGGGAGTTTTATTTCCAGTGAACGATTCTATAGCACTGCTAACAAAAATTTTGTGTTCAGAAACTACATATTTTTTACAATTCTGCACACACCTTTTGTCTGTCATAGGAAGTCATGAATCTCAACTTATTACTAAGGTAAACTGGATACCTACCACTTTAAATGCACAAATGACTGTATCATTCAATTTGGTCAATAAATAGTATTTTGTATGAAAAAAATTGTAAGATGCAGTAATAACAGTAGTTAGCGTAGATCAGGACAAACAGCAGTACCTACACAGTAGTCAGGGCTTTTTCTTGGACAATCACAAAGTTCTGTTTAGTTTTGAGATCTGTATTTTATATTGAAAAATTAGGTAGGTTGGTAGAAAACTCATACACTTTTCCCCATAAACACAGTATTGTACCTAATAGGACAACACTTTTAATTAATATTTTCGCATTATTCAAAGAAGAAAAGAAGATACAGTCCATTCACTACTCTTATGGTGATCGATTTAACTGCGTCACTAGGGTTTGTCCAGTTGTAGGTAAATATTATAGTGTTACTGGTATGTTGTATATTGTATATATATGTTTATTAAGTTGCTCATGGTACTGCAGTGTAGAATGACAGCAAATTAACATTCTGAACATTATTATATTTTGGAATTATACACGAAAAAACTAAATGTTAGAAAATCGAAAAGATTGAACATGTAAGAATTGCACAATGTTTTAATTTTAAATTTTTGTTTTTTGTTTTTCTTATTTTTACTTGTATTACTGTTTCACAGTGCTACCTTTTTTGTCTTTTAACTTTTGATTGTTTTTTTAGTTTACAGAAAAGAAACTATATTTACTTTACATTTTTTTCTTCCAATATTTGTCTCTAGACATTGGAGTTTTATTAATTTTTTTCTTTTAAATTATAATTTTTAGGAAGTTGCTTCCCTACTTTTCAGCGTACGACCCGTAAATATTGCTGCTAGACAATTGTTCCATTACATGCAAAATGTAAAATCAGGTTAGTATTTATAAAAAGTAAAAATTAGAATATAAAAATTGTAAACATATTTAGTTTTGCAAATCTTTTAGAATAACACAAAAGGTGATTAAAATCTTTTGCAATGAAAATTTCATACCTCTATTAGTCCAGGCGGTATCTGTTTTAAAAAGGGCATACTTGGGTAAAACGCATATGATCGGAGATTTTTGCTTTAACGGCTTCTAAAAAACACCAGAAATGATAATTTTTCTATGCAAATAAAAAAAATCGTGGGCTTAATTGTTATTGCAAAAAAGTATAAAAAAATAGAAAAAAAATCATTTTTTTTCTTGGATTTCTCGTCGACAACTTAGCAACTATTCATTTCAGACAAGAATGGAAGAAGAAAAAAAGTTTTGTAATTAAATTTTGAACAACATAGAGTTAGTTGCAATTCGAAAAAATAATTATTGTTATTGCAAAAATCGGAAAAATCATTTAAAAAATTGCAAAAAATGCTAGTTTATTTGTCAATTTTTTT